GCAGCTGGTGTTCTCTTTGGCCGGCTGTACGTCGCCGGCGGGCAAGATGGCCAGGCTCTATGAGTGACAAGATGGCCAGGCAGTTTACAGCTAAACATTCACAGCTTGGCCCGGATCAGAAAGATGAATTGTCTCAACATGTTTAGATTTCTGACACATATTCATGGGAGTTTCACTCTTCGGTTCGTTGGACACAAACGCTTTGTTGACTGCACAGCTTGCGTGGCCGGTTTTGTCAATTCATTCCCTGAGTTTAAGCTCTGGGATTAGCTACTTATCTCCACACAAAATGCGAGGTCAACAAAGAGCCACCGGCAAAACTTATCCACAAAAAGCTGAATACCAAACAGGAATGCATGGACAATAGCTAAGTGAGCCAAGTAGCTTCCTCCCCATATCTTAGTATATTCATTTGTTTTGTCTAGATTCTCCCCTCCTTGGTTAAGTCCCTGTCAGAGTTCCATAGCAATTGAGTCTTCCCCTGTCTCAATTTTTCCTTTCCTCCTTGCGCCAGAATCTCTTTCCTGGGATTGCTTGTTTGTTCACTCCCCATGTCCCACATTTCCCTACTATTGGTCATTCAACACGTCCCCAGATTGCTGAGTCCATGAGCTTGGTCCATTTCATCTCAGACATGCTCGTGTCCTGTCTCGCACAGGGGCCAGAAGGAGCATGTCTTGTGCTCTAACAAAATTCGACGAAAATCATAGAAAATCATGGGTGTTGACGACCAAGGCGCCAAAGTTTTTAAGACCGTGGAGTGTTTTGACCCCAAGTACAGGGCTCAGATGGGTGAGCTGATTTTGGTGCATTGCAGCGGCAAGCAGCATGCGAATGAAACGAAAGATCAAGGTCAAAGACGTGGGAGAGGTTGCCGCCTTTGCAGGTTGGGGCCATTGCTGGTCCGGGGCTGGCGCTGAAGTTAAGAGTGGAGTTGAGATTCTGACACGAACTTGTGAGAGGATATGACAGAACAGTTTTTAGCAGCGTGTTTGTTGGCGTATTATTGGGATGCTGTCTTCACGCATTGAATTCATCGCACGCCCGCGGTCACCGACCACATGCCTCCTTTGCAGGAGGCGAGAGCGTGTGCGATGGCCGTGGACCCAATGGCCATGTGTTGCTTTGCGAATTCATTGAGGATGGGCTCTCCATTGAGAGGAGCCTACTAGGGCTTACTAGGGAGCAGGATGGCACTTTGAGGGTAGTCACTGAATTCACCATGAGAGTCGTCCCAAAAACCCACATATAAGGATGCTACTAGAGGCTCCTGGCCTTACTGTACTAGGAGCCTACTAGGAGCAAATTCGCTCACCAGAATGGCAGTCTCGGACGTTGGGCTTAAGGCAACGTCCATCCACGATCGCTTGCTGATCTGCGGGGGGCTATGATGATATTCAGTTCTTGAAGCCAGACCCTTGACTTTAAACGTTCTTGGTCAGTGCCTTTGTTTTGAGGGGTACTTGTACCAAATGCGTCCTCAGCGGCCAGAGTTTCTCGCTCCTTTTCACATTTGTTCACCGATGTAAAACAAGATATTGCGAAGATTGATTGGTTGCAGGTCTGCTGAATGCTTTGATCCCATCAAAAAGAGGCATGGAAAGCGAGCCAAAATGAGAATCCTTGTGTTTCGTCATGCCTTGTCATCGACTTATCATGCTTCAAATGTGATTTGATCAACAAAAAACTGAAGGCAGATCTCGTGCTGAAATCAAAAAAAGCGAGATCCACAAAATCAGATGGGTTCAGTGTTTGGAGATGGGAATCCGCCAGGACAAGACCCGTGTCAATTGCCTTGCTTAGTCTGTAGACTTCAGCGTCAAACACCCCCTCCCCTCTTTGAAGGAAGCAGACGATGCGCCAGGTGGCATGCCCTGCCAAGCATGCAGTGGCCGCACGGAGCCACAGAGCCGCACGGAGCCACACGGAGCCCGCCCAGTGCCGTGCCCGGAGGGTCTCTCCGTGTAGTGCACCAAGGCGCGAGGGTGCCGCCTGTGTGCAACTTCGTGGCCGGCTCTACATGTGTGGAGGTCACTGAACTCAGATGTCTCCATGAGGTCCAAGCCATTCGCATCGCATTCCCATCCCGAAAAAAAGGACGTAAAGGCCGTGATTCTCAGACTTTTGGATGTCGTTCTTCCGCTCTGTTTGTTTTCCTTCAGGTTTTGGATTTGGATCTTGTTGCGGCGTAGACATTGGTAGATGCAGTAGGATTGTGGTGCTTTGGAATTCTTGGAATCTTCTGAGGCTTCTCTGGAACGCACTACCTCAACAAGGCCCTTTGGGCTTGCTATCAAATTTTCAACTCTGGACACGAAGACGCCATGACACCAAACACAACAATATGTTCGACCATGCAAGCGACTCATGTTTCCAGGCATGCCCTTCCGTTCATGAGCCCTTCCGCTAGAACATGTCGACACTCATACTAGTACCTCCAAAAACACAGACACACACACAAGCTGCCACACGACGTCGCTCACCAAAAGCTCAGATAGTCGACGTTTGCGACCGCATCGATATGGGGTTGCTTAATGGTTGCTTGATGTTGCATGTCTCACCCAAGCTGTTGCTCCGTTCGTAGCGATGCCGTTTGCTCCTAGTAGTAAGGCCAGGAGCCCCTAGCAATGTCCTTGGTGCATAGAAACAGACTCCTCCACTTGATCAAGATTCCTTCAAGGTGGAATACTTCGACTCCACCAATGGATGCTGGCAGTGCTTGCCTCGATGTTCCTAGACGGGCTTCATCGGCTTCATTGTTGCGAGAGAGACCAAATTCTGGCGTTGTGGAATGAGAGGGGGGTGAAGTGGTCTTTGAGGAAAGCTCCAGCCCTTGAGGAAGGAAGGCCAGAATGTATCTCCAAATTCATCAGCAAAGGGTTCTCAGTCCTCAGTCAACGAAAGTGCTCTTCAAGAACGGTCTTGGCATGCCTTTTCTATGTGAGCAGTGTTTTTTCAATAGCATGAGCTGCAGCTGTACGGTACGGAGGGTTCAAACAATTGCATAGCCATCCCGCAGGCATGGAGCAGCAGCTGCTCGCTTGGGTCCCAAGGTGCGGCTCGAAACCGTGGGTACCGAGGCAGGTACCGAAGACCGAGGCAAGGGCTAACACGTGGTGAATGGATGTTGAACTCGGGTGCCAAGATTTCGACAACCAACTGTTGTACAGGCCCTCGTACCGGTTGTTCAACTCCATTTGCAGCTGGGTATAAAGACCCTGGATTGACTTTGAGCATCTTTGAGCCCAAAAGCTCCTGATGAGTTGGAGGTGATTGTTTGCGGTGGACATCAAGGAGCTCGAGTCCGCACCTGACAGAGAACTGCATTAATACGTGAGCTTAAGTGAGTATTGATGGCCAATTTATGCCAATTTCAATGGACGTCTACCTCTTGTTTAGTTCCCGCAAGCTTACGAATTCCTGTGGACGCCCGAAAAAGCTGCTGCTGCTGGCATGCTGGCTTGAAGGTACTCCGCTCAGTGGAGTGCTTGGATACTCGGGAAGGGGTTTGGCAAAGGCCGAGCAACGCTGGACTCGGCTGACGGCTCGACTCTCGCATTCCATTCGTACAAGCTGAACTTCCGACCGTGACCGTTTGATACAAAGCACGCGGCCATTTCAGGTACTTTCACGTATGTTCTTTCTTGTGGTGTGTTTCCCTGCTACAGTAATCACATGTAATCACTTAATCTGGTGCTACATCGGTATCCGGTATATTATATATGCCAAGTTAATAGTATTTGTAGCGCATCTTGAATAACAGATTGCACCCATACATCATCACAAGCCCAAGTCCGTTGTGCCAGGCTCGCACCGATGAGCGTGAAGCGGAAGAATGCTTCCATTACGTCAGTGGGAGGCAGGACGAAGCAAGCAGGCAGACGTAAGGATGCCATTTTCCCTTGGCGGTGAACATTACAATTACTACATTGATTGTTCTTATTGATAATGCCATTGAGAAGTGAAAAGGGTATAGAAGGACTGAGGACTCGATCTACTTCATTCTACTTCCCTTGTTATGTCCGCCTGGAGTGTGTTGAAAACGCCTGTGCTTCCCACATTTTTCTTCGGAAGCTCGCGTTTCGTGCGCTTCCTGGGCAGATCGCCATGCCAGGTCTGCTCTTTGTGTTCGGTGGGTGCGACAAGGCAGCCGATCCATTTTTTTTAATGATGATTGCCCACCTGGGCTCCTGGGTGTTCTTCATGTCTTCAACCTGGACCTCAAAAGGGTGTTTTTCTTGGCTGCCTTTGATGCGGGGAGTGAGGGGACCTGATCCAGTCACAGTCTGCGTGCTCCAAACAAGGATTGCCAGGATTGCTGCTGATTGCTGCGACCCCATTTCGTGTGTAGAGATTCCGTATCAATTCCAGTGGCGGCAATAGGCAAGATGGCAGACACGAGAAAGTTCGAACATGCTTAATTTGTCCACTACTGGCCGAAGGTAGCTCTTAGATCTTCTTAGATCCTCAAGATTGAAATTGCGGCACTTTGAAACTTTGGTCATTTATTATGATATATGTCATTTATTTGGCTTCTCTCATTTTTTCCGAGCGCACATGGACCAACGTGTGGCGTGAACGCACATCGCACCTTGCGCGCGTGCGTTCACGCCTTTCCCGTCGCAGGAGAGTTCCTTAAAGCAAGCGGAGTGTTTCGACCCAACGAGTCCGAAACTCATCAGCCGTCCCCGAACAGCCTTGCGGTGGAAGTGCTAATAAAGTAACATTCGGACGCTACTAGGAACAAAGGGCATCGCTACTAGCAAGGACGCTACTTGGTGCGCTCCTGGCCTTACTACTAGGAGCAAGAGCTCCTAGTAACAAGAATCAAGCAGAAGTTGAGTACCGTGTGATAGAAGGAAAGGTGCCAAGGTGTTTCACTCGTTTTTCTGCCAAGACTGGACACCTTTCATGCAGGGGAAAAACATTGTGATTAGGCAAGAGGCTAGAACTTACTGCAACGATTTCATTCAGCATTTGCCCAAGTGTATGGAATGGTCATGGCCAGTGATGCCGGTCGTTTGGATTTGCACCTATGGTCGCACCTGACGCTGAACTCAGACGCAGAGGATGTCTTAGGGCTTTACCGGAATTTGCATCCTTTGCGCTTCAACCATCGGCATATCTATTGGAACGAGCAGAAGTCACACCTTCTCGTCTTCCTCCACTTGGGTCAACATGGCTCATGGACTTTGTGCAAATGGCAAGGTCCAAGGGGCGCGAGCTCGACACTGACCAAGTTGGTGGCCAGATGTCGCCGCGGAATAAAGGCGACCTATCAGACACTTCGGGTGAGACGTAGTCTTTGGCATGGAGGCGCTGGCAAGGTCCGCGCTTTGGTTTTGCCGGCAGGCAAGCAATTCTTTTTCAACAGTACTGGAAACTTTCAGGAAATTCTCACCGAATTTGCTGCTGCCCCAGATGTCATTCAGAAGAGACTGGGGCTTCTTTCCTCTCGTGCGCGCACTACGATGGCCGACCCCAGCTTCTTCATGGCCGATCTCTCGCGAATGGTGGGCTGGATGGATCGGCCGCCATTGAATCTGTGGACGTTGGGGACCTACTTTTATCACGTGGCACATGCCCAAGTTCCAGGTTCGCCCTGCTGGGGAGGTGGATACATGCCACAGATGTGTTGTCATGCACGCATCAGTCCGGAAAAACTCTCGTGGTGCTTCGGCCGCATTGAGGGAGACATGGTGGAACATTGCTGTGCTAGATATTTGGAACATCCGCCCGTGGGTAGAGTTGAGATGCCTCCAGTACGTCCGTTGTTTTCCCGGATCTCGGTACAAATCTTTCTCCAAAGCTACAACGAGGATCGGTTTGCACTTCTGCCCTTCTTGGAGTCAGTTGAACGCTTTTGGCCCAAGGACTGGAAATCACGGGTCTTTGTAGCAGTCGACAACGTGACAGCGGATCACCAGATGTGTGAAGCGCTTTCGTCCAGAGTGACTTGTGTCGTAACCGAAAGCATTCCTCGTGGGCCTTCTGTGATTGACTCTATTGAATGGAGCGGACGCGGCGTGAGCGAGAGATATCACAAACTGCTGTTGCAGTATCACTATTGGCTTGCAGACATATATATAGCACAGCATGTTAAAATGCCAGACTGGATTGCTTGGTTTGACGCTGATGTTGTCATCCACACACCACGAGTGGAAGAGTTGCTGATGCCATTTGGCCTCCCCGTTCACTTTGCCCGTCGCTCAATGCAGAATTCAATGGAGACAATGTCATTGGGCCTTGATTGGGTTGGGGAATTCATGGACACATTCCCTCAGCTGGTACGGCCTAGCCACTTGCAGCATTTCCGTGCATTCGTTAAGAAGATGTTTAACAAAGATAGCTTTGAAGAAGCATACCACGCTTGGCGCCAAAGCATTGAAGAAGCAGCTTTGGTTCATGGTAAGTTCTACGGCTACCTCTCAGAGGCTGAAGGGCCTCAGAGTTCATTTCCAGTGTTCTTATATCATTTCCACCACGAGGAATTCACTTGGGCCCTTGAAGATGCTGCTGCCTTTGGACTTCCCTTGGAGGATTCATGCTTGTCATTCCGTGTTGCAAGTCATGTAAGTCAGTGGAAGCACAAAGTGAGGGAGAGCAATTGGACGGAAGCAGCATATGCACAGCGCGCAAGGCGGTTGATGCAACTCGGACAGAGGAACAGCCGGGTGCTTCGTATAGCCTTGTTGAGTGCCAACTTCAATCCTGAAGGCACCTGGAGTCAGAGGAGCTCAGCCCATTGCATTGAACGTGACCGAGAAACCATGCTATGGCGATTTTTTCCAGCAACGCAAGCTTCTTTGAGGCAGAGGAATCGATTGCAAGCGCTCCCCCACCATTCGCTCGGGTCGGCGGATACAGATATACACGCATGTTCTTGAACTTGCGTGGATCCGTGGCCTTCAAATGCCTTGAGCTGACCTGATACATTAAATGTGTTCTCGTTGAACTCGATTTCATGTGTGGAGGCTGATGGAGGCTGCCTCACAAGAGCAGACTGCCGGCTGCGATTCGAATTTATGTGGCAGAGAAGTGATCAGCTAGTACCACGCCACCAGCCCCGTCGATCGAATTTCCTTGGACACCATGAAGCACCTCTGTGGAACACTTGTCGAAATGTCCCATCAATGAGGCACAAAAAGGCTCTCAGCAATTCCTTGGAAGAGCCTTTTTTTCACATCCACGAGGGAATGTCAAGTGAAGCAATACAATAATACATTGCTGAATCATAGCATGCCAAGGTGATAGCTGGCGATCACTTCCTGACATGTCCTGATCTGAGGCAGAAATCACTTCAGGTGCTGACATTGTAAGAATTATGATTTTGGAACGGCAAGTGGAGGTCTGGATGGAAGACCGGAGCAAAGCTTTTCCTCTGGGTCTGCTACCCGAATGGCTGGCCTCTCCATGCTTGAACGCTTAGGTCCTGCAAGCGTGCAGGTGGCTCGTTGGCTGTCGCAGCTGGACAGATATTTGTCATAGGCGCAGCTTGGCGCAGCCACATGCGAGTGCACACAGAGTTTCTGACGTCTTGAGATTGACATCTCGCGGCTCGCGGTTTTTTTGAGATTTCGGAAGACCTTATTTAGACTCTAGACCCTCCATCCCAGACTTCGCGGAAGTCATCGTCAGTCTTCAGTACCTTCCTGTTCTTCTCCCGGGCACCATCCGCACCTTGCAGGCGGAGCGGACGGTCACACCTGCCATCAATCAGTTGAATGTGAGGGCCATGGACTGGTGGGCTCCGATTGGGTCAAAAGCACTTTGAGCATTTCGGTGGGAGCGATCCAAAGTGCTCCTGAACAAACTGGCATATGACACAAAGATCTTCTTCAGTACGCAGAAGGCAACTGATCCTTATCAGTGACCCTAAATCATTGAACATCCATCTAAATCATGCAGCTTCTGAGTCCATTTTAGATACTCCATGTGCGATTTTGTTGTTTGGTGATAAGTGACAAGATATGATAAAGATTCTTTCATCGTCCAGTGCTTTTGGTCCTGAGAAACTTGGAAATGCCTGCCTTGTGACCCGACGAAAAAACCCGCCTCTAGTAGCCTCTTGCTCCTAGTAGTAAGGCCAGGAGCCCCTAGTAGCATCCGATCTCTCCTAGTAGCGATGCCAGGAGCCCCTAGTAGCGAACCGTGTTACTCCTTCAGTCAGGCTTCAATGTCGTAGAGAACATGTGGCAGCCTGTGACGCCCTCAGAGCGTTCGCCGCCGTGGCATTTCATTTTTTCTATGGCAACATTTTTGTAAAGTAGCCATTTCATAGGGCCTATAGGGAATGCATGTCAGGTTTGCATTGCCATTGCATTTCATTGCGTTTGTCTCTTGCATTCCATGTAGCACCCATGGCCTGGCTCAGGTAGCACCCATGGCGGAAGGCCGCAAAGCGGCCGCAGCGGTGACGATCATGAGCTGACGCATCCAACATCCCACGGTTGAGTCTCTGATTCTGGAGAGGTGTTGTTTGTTCTTGGTTTTCTATGGTTTTCTTATTTCTTTTAAGAAGAAGACAAGCGCCTGAAACAAGACGTTCTTATTATATCTTCCTATAAGACCTAAGACGATTCGTCTCTATTTTTGACAGTTGATTTCTGGGAACCATATCAATTAGGATCCTTCATGGCACTGGTCCACCAAGAACCTCAACAACTATGAGTAACCTAGCAATTAATTGGTGTTTGAAGCTGCGGCATCTGGCAGCGACCATTGAACACCCGTCTTGAGATGTTCTGCAGACTGACTGGAGCACTTTTAACATGGCGGTGATCTAAAGCTTTTTGAACTTTGGTCACCTTTGGCTCCTATGGACCAAACAAATGGTGCCTGCTCCCACTTCTGCGCCCCGGTTCGCGTGGCCCATCTTCCTGCTTTTCATGCTGCGCAACGAACCCATTCCTCGTGAGCCTCGCGAGGAACGGACCTTCCGCAGGCGAAAAGCTCATGTGTAGTCACCGAAAAGCTCAGAAGAAATTGGCCATCCGAATCCGATCCTGAAGACACGTTTCTTTTGATGAAATGATGAGGCTTATGGACTAATAAGGTGTATCATGGGTCTATCAACATTTGCTAAGATTCAGCAGGCGTATCATAAACACTGTGTCACCAGAATTCACTGGGTGCTTGTTTTGGCATGGGCCCGACTCTGGTTTCAGTTATTTGTCTTTTCTTGGTTGAGCGCCGGAGCATGTGCTCGAGCCTTTAGCGGAATGAACCGGGCCTAGGGTTTCTACGCAATGTGCTTTGTACAGTTCGTTCCTGGCAGCACCATTGCGCTGCTCGAGAAGCTACCCTCACAGGATCTTCTCATGTGCATGAGGTTTCTTTGCACGCGCTGCTCGTCTAGTGACATTAAGAATTCCATGGCCCAGAGGCCAATTCGGCTTGTCCCAAAGTCGAGCGATATCGAATACAACGTGAGCAAGGTCTGGCGCCGATCGTGCATGGCTGGCCCAGCTGAATTGGCTGCTGGTTCAAAAGTGCTTACTTGTGAAAGAGGAAGGTGCATCGCCTGTACGTGAGTTTCTGCCACTTAGAATATTTGTTTGCTTCACACACACACACAAGGACACATGCTGTGTTTGTTGCGCAAGAAAGTCAAGTCCTGTCAATGCCACCCTGGCTTCCATACAATCATTTCATTTGATGTTGAATGACTTCGATCAGAACTCGCTTGAATCAACACATGACAGACTGGCATCATTCTATGTGCTGGTTGTGAGAGGCACCAATGCCCACTATGCACCAACCCGAAAGCCAATTGAGCTTCATTGCCCACCTTGGGCGTGCAGGCAAAAGGATGCCAAATGTCCAACAATGATGATAGACCCAACGCCTTTCAAAAGGGATGTTTTGGCAACTAGGAGTGAAGGGTAGTTGCTCGAATTCAACGACCTACAAGACTCAAGATACTCAAAAGCATTCTTCTAAGTCCCGTGCACAGGAGATGCACCTCAATTGTAGAGCTATCACATGCCTGGCCTACGCATCATTTTGCAGGTTTGATACCCAGATCACGACGCTTTCCATATGAGCAAGGACACCACTATACATATTATATATATACTATATACAGAGTCCCTTCAGCTCTTAGACCAACCTGACCCACCTGACCAAGACTTGACTAGACCTCTCGAATCCTTTCGACCCACAAAGATCTGCACTGGCACCGCTCCGCGGGGTGCACGATGGGGTCATGGCCTCGGGCCCGCGGAGGGGGAAACAACACGGAGCAGCGGCGTAGGGATTCACCGCGGAAGAAGTGGTTTTAAATTGTTTCAAGACTGAACGCATCTGAACGCATTATTTCTTTTTGCGAGACTGAACGATTTTTATTTTTTGGCGAGTTCATCGCTTACAACCCATTATATAGCACGAGCATCGACTGAGAGATTTTGAGAGCCATTTTGTTTTGCACATGGGCATCATACCTTTTGCATATGATGATCCTTAGGCAGTTCCTTTTAAGATATACCTACGCTATCCTACGCTTTGCAAATCTTGTGTTCTGCCTAGTGAGTAGAGATAGTAGAAGATGCAGTAGAAGGCTCAGAGGGCCAATCTGGCGAATTGGTTGGTGAGAAGATAGAACTGAGAAATTCTACAAGACTGGGGGTCTCCAGCCTGTCACCGGGCAAAGAAGCAAAACCTTGAATACTGAAGTAGAGCTGTAAGATGCGTGGAGGGCAGAAGGATTGTACTCGAGTTTCTCTTCGGCCTAGGAAGGGGTGAGAAAAGGTTTTCGTGCCGGTGACTGTACGTGTGTCAGTGTGCCAATCAGCAATAGGCTTCGTCTGCGTCAATGTCATGCAGAGGAGCTGATTCCTTTGTTGGCTTTAGTTTACATGAAGTTTTACGTTTGTCGGATTGGGATCGTGTTTGCATGTGTTTGTTTATTTGCTATGAATTAATTGAAGATTGAGAGTTTGTTTATATAATCCATACCGCATGAAGCACGTACCGCCAAGGAGCAAGTTATTCACAGTACGCAGTAGGCACTTGCAAAGCTCAAAGCTGTTTTCACATATTTTCAAACATCTGACGGTTCACGCCATACGATGGTGCATGGTTCACCTGGTTCACCAGTAGTTCACCCATGGCGACGGGTCATTTGGATCTGAACCTTTGGACGCGAGCGGCTTCGCTGAAGTCCGATGCACAGGGTGTCTTAGGAGTGTACCGGAATCTGCACCCCATGCATGTCTACATGAACGAGCAGAAGTCACACCTTCTCGTCTTCCTCCATTTGGGTCAACATGGCTCATGGACTTTGTGCAAATGGCAAGGTCCAAGGAGCGCGAGCTCGACACTGACCAAGTTGGTGACCAGATGTCGCCGCGGAATAAAGGCGACCTATCAAAGTCTTCAGATGGAGCGATCTCTCTGGCATGGTGGTGCTGGAAGCTACAGAACACTGCTTTTGCCGGCAGGCAAACAATTCGTTTTCAACAGTACTGGAAGCTTTCAAGAAATTCTGGTGGAATTTGCTGCTGCCCCAGATGTCATTCAGAAGAGACTGGAGCTTCATTCGTCTCGCGCTCGGACATTGGATCCGGACTTTTTCGTGGCTGACATCAGCATGGTTGTGGGTTTCTTCGACCGGCCACCATTAAATCTGCAAACCCTGGGTACGTACTACTATCATGGTGTTTTTCTCAATTCGCAGGGTGGTTCGCCATGCTGGGGTGGTGGATACATGCCACAGCTTTGCTGTCACAAACGCATCTCTGAGGATCACCTTCTGTTTTGTTTCGGTGAGAAGGCGGATGTTTATGCTGTGCATTGCTGTGCCAGATATTTGGAGCCCCCGCCCGTGGGTCGCGTTGGGATGCCTTCTTCAGTACGTCCGTTGTTTTCCCAGATCTCGGTACAAATCTTTCTCCAAACCTACAACGAGGATCGGTTTGCATTGCTACCCTTCCTCGATTCCATTGAACGCTTTTGGCCCAAGGACTGGGACTCACGGGTCTTTGTAGCAGTCGACAACGTGACAGCGGATCACCAGTTGTGTGAAGAGCTTTCGTCCAGAGTGACTTGTGTCGTAACCAAAAGCATTCCTCGTGGGCCTTCTGTCATTGATTCTATTGAATGGAGCGGACGCGGCGCGAGCGAGAGATATCACAAACTGCTGTTGCAGTATCACTATTGGCTTGCAGACATATATATAGCACAGCATGTTAAAATGCCAGACTGGATTGCTTGGTTTGACGCTGATGTTGTCATCCACACACCACGAGTGGAAGAGTTGCTGATGCCATTTGGCCTCCCCGTTCATTTCGCTCGTCGCCCGATGCATTACACAATGGAGACAATGTCATTGGGCCTTGATTGGGTTGGGGAATTCATGGACACATTCCCTCAGCTGGTACGCCCTAGCCACTTGCAGCATTTCCGGGCATTTGTTAAGAAGACTTTTGAACAAGACAGCTTTGAAGAAGCATACCAGGCTTGGCGCTCAGCAACTGCAGAAGCTGCTT